TGTGAGGAACCTGAAGTGGCTGACTCTCTCCACCTTAGTCCCGTAGATGGAGCCACCTTCTTCTCTGTGTCGCTTCCTCTATTCAGTTTTTTAGTTTAGCTGACACTAACATGGAGGTGGTTGTGGCACAAAGATGTCAATGCTCTGACCACCTGTCTGCGCTCTGTCTTGTTGCTGTCTTTGATCAGTTGGATGCCGGTGCTGTCATCAGGAAAGTTGATGATCATGTTGGAGTGGTGGGTAGTGCAATGGTGGGTGAACAGCGATTACAGGAAGGGCTTGGAGGGGTTCCGTTGTGAAGGGTCAGTGGTGTGCCCGGGGTCTGCCCGTCAGGAAGTTCAGGATCCAGTCACATGGGAGGTTGACTCAAGGGCTCTGAGCTTTATGATGAGATTTTGTCCGACAGCTCAAAGCTAATACTGCCAGTTCGACAGACACAGGTGATTTAAATATAAACAACGACAGCACAAAGTATACCATTTTTATAATCCTTTCTTGTAAAACTTCTGTTCTCAGATCGATGATAAAGAGTTTGACATTCCCCAAGTTGACACACCTCCCACCCTGGAGAGCATCCTTAATGAGGTGAGTTCATGACACACTGTGACTGTGAACACTACATCACATCCAATCCTGACAGGACTGCTCTGAATGAACAAGAGAAAGTGGGGAGTGGGATATAGACTTGAAAGCTGTTCAGCCGTTATGATGTGTTCATATTATATTCATAAAATTGGATGAGACTGTTTTTAAATTTGAAATAAAAAAAACAAGGTAAATTCAAGCTATATTTTCTATTAAATGTAACATGTTTGCCTCCTTTGATTTCAGTCCAATGCTGTGAGTGGGAAAAGTGATAACAACCGCTTAGCTGCTTTTTGCAGTTCTTAAAAAACAACCAGGATTAAGCTTGAACAAGACTGAGAAAGAAGAGACAAAGAGACTGAACTTGTTTCTGAGAATATAATATTGGCAGCATATTAAACCTCAATTTAGGAATGACTACACTGTACAAAACAGTAGTAATAGATGCATAAGGGGAAATTCCCTCAACAGGATAAAATGTATATTAGTATTGGGAAAGTAGCTTATCAGCGTCATATCAGTATGTAGTGTCTCTACTGGGACATGTCTCCATGCTTTAATGTTCAAAAAGCTCTTTATTTCTCTCATACTGCCTGTGCTGCAGCACCTCTTTTCACCCTCTGTCTGAAACCAGAGCCCACTCTGCTCTGATTGGTTAGCTGGGAGTGTGTGGGAGAGGAACACAGGTATTGTTAGCCTCTGCAGACCATTTACATACTCAAAAACCTATATAACACACTAAAGGGAAAGGGAAAACCCCCCAAAAGCATTATAGGGCCACTTTAATTTTGATCAACTCCACTATAGATGTAGTAGAGCCCCCTATCTGATGTGTATTTATGTTGTTTTCTTTTGGGTGCCTAGCTGATGTGTGTGTTGTTGTTCTCCTGTGTGGTGTCTGCAGCTGGAGGATGAGGAGGAGCCCTTTGTGTTGGAGGACACCTGCGTGCTCAACACAGACAACATGGACGCTCACTCCTGTGACACCTCCTCTCTGGCCAGCTCTGACAGTGGAGACCCAGCACACCTCAAACGGCAAGATGAGACACACACACATACACACACACACACACACACACACACTGCTACAGCAGTCAAAGCAGCACCAGCATCAGCCAATACAAACCTCTTCTATCACCAAACGAACAACACGAACACAACACACAAATGTGTGTACCTGTGTGTACTTGTTTCTGTGTGTGAACGTGTACCTGTGTGCAGGAAGAGGAGGACGGTGGACCTGAACGCCACGGTGCACGGGTCTGTTCTCCGACACAGCCTGCTGAAGGGCATCTCTGCACAGATCGTCTCTGCTGCTGTAAGACACACACACACACACACACACACACACACACACACACACACACACACACACACACACACACACACACACACACACACACACACACACACACACACACACACAGGTATGTTTTTTATTTTTTTTAGCTAATTTTACAAGTGCTTAAAGATGCTTTACAAAGATAAAAGTCAAAGTTTAAAAAATACAACTCACATTACAATGATTCGGTAGTCCAGCTTTAGCTCTTTCGTAGATTGTGTTGCTGATGGGATTTTACTTGGAGGACTTGTTGTAACTGTAGTCTCTACCTCAGTACTAGCTACAGCATTGTACTTGTGTTACTCGGGACTAATGCATTTTTTGTAACCAATATAACATGTGTTTATTTTCTTCAGGACAAAGTGGATGCCGGCCTGCCGACGGCTATAGTGAGTATTCATTTATTTACCAATAAACCAACTGAACAGAGGGACATGGTTTTAGTTTAAAGGAAAATACTTTTGATGATAATGATATGATGCACAACATCTAGGTTATTATTGTTTTAATCACAATGGTTATTTCTATTAACTAATAACTATACACCGTTCCAGAAGGTTTTATTCATAATTACACAGAAGCAGTCACACCCTTCATACAGAACTTTAAGTGGAAATTGTTAGAGAGATGTCGGGGAAAAGCTTAAAGCGAATGTGTGTGTGTGCACAAGGGATCCTTGTTGTGGTCCTTCATTGTATCGACACTGGTGGATGCATAAAGTTTGCTTATATCATAATGATCTTTGGTCTTGTTTTGTGTCCAGACAGTGGCGGGTGTGATTGTGGTAGGAACGTCTCATGGTCTGGCTCTGGTCTTCGGTGAGTCTAACCTTGATTTCGCTCCTTAAATACAAAACTTTTTAGTATGCAAGTATAACACAAAGACAGTAGATGTATTTAATTAAGTGTAGTAATCATTTACTAAGTGAACATTTACTTTACATTTCACTAACACATGTTTTTGCTGTGATCCCACCTGTTGCATGTGTAGTGGTTTTGTAGTTCTGTGCTTGAGTTGCAACAGGGTCTTATTTATTTATTTCTCCCCTCTCGTCCCCCCTTTGGTTTGTGCACTAAGTTTCAGAAGCCATGAGTTTAGCACCAGCAGTGACGCGAGAGGCCCCCCCCCCCTCCCTCCACACAAAATAGAAAAAACATATATTCATATAGTTCAAAGAAAGTAAAAATGTGCAATAGAAAGATAAAATGATAAACAAACACAAGAAGTTAAAGTAAAAATGTTCACATTGTATGACAATATGTAACATTTATATTACAAAATGCTTTGGTGTATTTGTATGAATACGATATTATTGCTGAATTGCATAGTTTATAAGAGTTTGGCTGCTGATGGTGAAGTATGTCCTAGTGCCACTATTATATTATATCTAAGATGATAACCAACAGTATGTATTTATACTCTTATTTTGATACTGTCAGTCACTGAAAGCTAAATCATACTACCAGAATTAAACAACTGGATTTGGCTAGCTGCTACAATTTCTTAATGTAGATCCTCTTAGTGTTGTGTTTTTTATTTTAAAAGTGTGAATCATGGAAGTTGCCTACCTAACTTATAGCTCTTATTTAGAAGCTCTTCATCCCATAATAATGTATGCATTATAAATACATAACAAACCCAAAACAATGAGCTTCTTCTATAAAAAGCTTGCAGTAGATGTTTAAAATGATCCATGTGTGTAAAGGTACAAAACAATTAAGTTCATTTTGGGACAAACCAGTAACTTCTCTTGGTTTACCACGTGTTCTTTGACTTGTTGAAACCTGCTGTACAAATGGTTAGGTGTAAGTGGAAAAGGTTTATGTACATAACCAAAAATAATTCAAACATGCATCCACACACTCATACTGAGTACTCTGATGGGTGGCTGTGGCTCAGGAAGTAGAGTAGTTGTCCACCAATCAGATGGTTTGATCCCCATTCCCTGCATTCATGCTGATGTATCCTTGGGCAAGATACTTAACTCTGAATTGCTCCTGATGGCCCACGGTGTGAGAGTGTGTGTGAATGTTAGGCCCGGCCACACAAGGACGAAAACGGTCATTTGCGTTACTGTTTAGTGTCATATAGACCGTTCGGCCACACGAGGACGACCGAATACGGCACTAAACGACTGCGAAAACGATAACGGGTCCCAAGGTGGATAGAACGGCATACGCAACGCTCTGGGGGGTCCAACGGCTCCGTGTGTACGCCCTATACGATAATTTTCTGATAATGATGAGGCAATAGCCCCGCCTCTGCTGCTCACCCCCGCGTCAAAGTAAACGGCACACTGAATTCAGATTATTTATGTGAAGTCTAATCTGACAGGACGGAGACACCTCTCAAACTACCTAAACTAGTTATAAATATGTTTATTTTCACTGTCGGCCGGGTCACTCATTACTGGATCAGCTGCTGCATGAGACAGACACTGACGCTGTCTGAAGAGAGGGAGGAAAAAGAGAGGCTCCGTGTATTTTATTATTATAATATATAGATTCGTTATTCATTTGTTTTAAAGCTCAATAAATAACAAAGAAGACCTTTGACCGGCACTTTTATAATTTTGTCCGGAAGATTTAAACTTTAATACACGTTGACTGGCGAAAAACTGCCCGGTTCCCTCGGCCCCCACCGCGGAGAATAAATAGAAGGGCAACCATGACAACCATGCTTCTTCGCTGCTTTTGTGGAGGAAGTTACAGCGCCACGTACAGGCTCCTGCATGTACTGCAGCTTCTCCAGCGGTTGGAGCTAAACGGAGCTGTCTCATGTGGACAGACACTATCCGGTGAATATTGCGTGTGGACGGAAGCTTTTTTGCGATTGCGTTTGCGTTAATCCTATGTGTTTAGCCGTTTTCGTCCTCGTGTGGCCGGGGCCTTAGTTTCCCTGAGCAGATGGCAGCTTGTATGGCAGCCTCTGCCTCTGTATGAATGGTGTGAATTGTATATGTCAAATTGGAATTGACCATATTAACCTTTATAAATAAGGCTAATGATAGACCTCTGTGTCACAGAGAACACACTAGATGTTTTATTAGCATTTTCTTTTAAAGAGGACAAGGTTTGATGGACAAAGTATTTTTATTTGTAATTAGGCATCAACTAAAATATCCAAAATATAGTGTACAATCATGTGTACTTATATTTTAAGTATAGTGAATAATTAGCACGTCTTTGTCAGTTGATTGAATTTCACACATATTCACATATTTGACCGAAATGATCATGGTATATAGCACACATAGCAGAAGGGTTTCTCCTTGTCCTAATACATGCCTGTGTCACTGAGGTCCACCCTCAGGACCGCCTCTCCTGAGTCTGACATGGAGGCGCTGACAATCACATAATCCCCCTGATAAGAAATGCCCGAGCCGTCAGCCTTTGCCCTTACGAAATTATTTTCACTTCCATTATACATCATATCATAAAGGTTGTAGTCACAGTCGTTCCCCCTCTCAAAGATCCCCACGGCGAACCAGTTGGAGTACATCATGCGGTCGTAGGGCACGGAGAACATGACGGCCATGACGTGGCTGTAGTCGTTCAGGTCGGGGTTGTAGAGGTCGTAGGTGAAGACCCCCACGGCCCCCGTCGCAGCGCCGGTGCTCTTGTTGAACAAGCCACTGGAAGCAGAGCAGGGGCCCACCATGGGGGGCATAGGGACTTCACAGCAGCCGCTCTCTGTGAACACCCTAAACAAAGAAACACAGAAACACCAAAATCAGACATACTTGAGGTATGTACATTTTTCCAAATCATACCATATATCTAAGGGCGCGTTTCCACTGCAGCGGGTAGCTCGCTTTAAGCGTGCCGAGCCGTGCGGGGCCCATTTTTGGTTGCGTTTCCACTTGGCCTAGTTTTGGCCCGGGGCTACTTTTTCACCTTTTTTATGGCCCGACTAAATCGTGGTTCTAGGGCCAGGAACAACCAGGCTGAGTCGGGCTGAGTATGCTAAACTAGAGAGAGAATCGCTGGCAAGGGGGCTACAACTACAACAAGATGAACATATTTGACCGTGATTTAATTGTAGTACACGTTTCAAAATGATGCCGAAGTAACAACATACTGATACCGGTTAGTAAAAACCATGAATTAATGCTTTGACAAGTCTGCAGACAGACGGCAGGCGGAAAACCCTTTTTAAAATGCGTGTTTTCTAAATATAGCTTGGCTAAGCTAACGTTATATATGCACCGACCGTCCACACTCACAACAACGGCCTATACAGACATAAATAAACCGGCGACTGTATTCTCCATGACACAGGCAGTCTGTGGTTTGTACTTGTTTAACTTTTGTCTAGTTTCTGAACAGATATGAAGAGCTGTGAGCTCTGAGTGCTAAGAGCTAACAGCTGTGTTGTTTTTCTGGGGCTCTCATTGAAGATGACGTCACGGCTCCGCCTACACTGCGTTACTATAGTTACTACCCCAGTTCCTAAACTGTAATGGAAACGCAGCATTAAAGTGAGCCGGGCCTAATAAGGCCTAACCAAACCGAGCAAGGCCGAGCGAGGCCTGCAGTGGAAACGCGCCATAATATTCATGAGCGGGGATAGTGTCCCTACTGTACAAGCATGTGAATACACCTTCAAAGCTGTTTCTGAGGTTACAGGTCACATGACAATTTGAAACACAACATGGCCAAAAGTAGGAAAGCAGTGTCTGACCTTGGGTTGGAGAGCGTGTAGCAGCCAGAGTTGTTGTTGATCTCAACAGAGCAGAGGCGGTGAGGCATTGTGATGAGGTGTGGGGGGGTGGCTGTGAATGAGAGACAAGACGGAGTCAGCTTAGCTAATTCAGATATTCAGCGATCAATACAGCTGTTTGTGAGACTTGGTTAGAGTGCAGTGTGTGACTTGGAGACTTGTGCCATTTACCACGTGTTCTTTGACTTGTTGAAACCTGCTATACAAATGGTTAGGTGTAAGTGTAAAAGGTTTATGTACATAACCAAAAATAATTCAAACATGCATCCACACACTCATACTGACTGTAGCCTGCTGAACGCTCTGCTGCCCTCTAGTGTCCATCCTTTCTATACATCCCTTAACATAGGCTTACGGCCCGTCCACACAGCAGCTTTTGGCGATTTGTCCACCGCTTCCAGCGCGTCTCCGCCCATTGACTTTGAATGGGGATGACGTCACTTTCCCTCCCTTGTCGCCGAACTGCATTGTGGGGGGGCGAGGCGAAGATTTCCAGGATTTCCAGGATTTCAAAGTTGAGCAATGTTCAACTTTTGAAGCTGAGCTGGAAGCGTCAGCCAATCAAATCCCGTTTATGCAAATCTGACAGTTCAAGCGCTAGCCAATCAAACCGCGTGCAAGCTGGGAGAACGAGACCCGCAGTTCATTTCTATATTCCACAAAAATGGAGGAGAAGTTAGTTATTGCGGTAGCAAATCACCCGGTTCTTTATGACCAGTCCCTATTTACTTACCGGGATACAAACCGGAGGAACCAGGCATGGAGGGAGGTGGCAGAGGCAGTGGGTGAAACTGGTAGGTTTTCGCTTGTTTGGGGATTTTATATCCAGTTTATTTCGTTGCTAGTTTACTTCGTTGCTAGCAAGCATAGACAGTATCATTAGCCAGCATGGAATGTAGCATAAAATAGCACCATAAACATTAATCTCATAAATGTTCAAAATGTTAAAAAAATAAATGTTCATCATAGCCCTTCCTATTTGACAATAGTGTAGAAGAACCGGGTTTTTTTGCTTTGTATGTCGGGGGCGGGATATTCATGTGATTGGTTGTTGGTCGCGAAATCCCCAAGCTGTCAGACACGCCCAGCTCCAGGATTTTCAAGATTTGGTCAAAGCTGCTGTGTGGACGGCCTGTTACTGCAGGGGTCGGCAACCCCTGGCACGGCACCGTAACCAGTGGCACACTAGGAATAAGTGGAATAAGTGTGCAAAATATTTTTGTTTTAAATTCGGATCATGAACGAGCCTGCCGCCAGGGCGCGTCTCCCCGTTACCTGCAGAAGGAAGCCATGCACGCAACGCAGCCCCGCTCTCTTTAACTCCAGGTGACTTTCTGCCGCTTTCCTCCGTGGTGCAGTGCTGATCGTTTCACCACGGAGGAAAACACTTCACAAATTGCAGTACCCATAAGGAGCTGTACAAATGCCACAGTTTTTGCGTGGCTGTGTCTTTAGTTGAAAGCCCAGTGGCGATCTGCTCATCTCTCATCGAAATAACATGCTACAAAGGGGCGGACTGGCCATCTGTGTGTTGAACTTTCCTGTCGGCTCCCAGACCGTAGTCGAGGAAACAGGGGGGTGACTCTCTGTCGTCTCCCAGGGCAGAAGCAACAAGCGTCAGGTTCAATAACCCACTTTAGCTTAAATGACTGGAGAGAGGCGAGCTCTTCTTGGGAGGCCGTTGCATTTATTTAGCTGTTCTTCTGTTTCACAAAATACATCACAGACCTCTGTTTTTCTGCTTCCTCGTTTCACTTCCAGAAACATACACACGCTCGCTCACTCTCGCTCTACCATCCACACACACACACATGCACACGCCACACCCCTCTCTCTCTCTTAAAGGGACATCGATCTCATCTCACTCTGCATGACCCTAATATCATAACATGTGTGCTCTGGAGAATCACAGAACTGACGATCGTCCTTATTATTATGCCGTTTAAACCAATTATTTAAATGTGTTTGTTGAATTCAGCATCATGTAAGTTGCGCTGACAGGTCCACACACTGCTTCCCCGCAGCGAGGCTCCCCCTGCCCTCCTGCTGATAGTTCACGAGCGTCGAGCTCCTCAACCCCCCCCGTGATAATTCACGATCGTCGGCACGCTGATAACAATTTTTGTTGTCATGGCACTTCATATCAAAAAGGTTGCCGACCCCTGGCTTACTGTATCACTCCCTTCATGTCATGACATTCAAAGAACTCTTCTAAGACCGTCCTGGTCCATAGATCGGAGAGAGCTTCCCCTCCATGTGCTCCGCCACCATGCATAATGCATGCCAATCATGTGGCAATATATATAGTTAAAGCTTTTGTATTTTGACAATGTTGAGTATTCTCTGATGGGTGGCTGTGGCTCAGGAAGTAGAGTAGTTGTCCACCAATCAGACGGTTTGATCCCCCTTTCCTGCATTCATGCTGATGTATCCTTGGGCAAGATACTTAACTCTGAATTGCTCCTGATGAGTGTGTGTGAATGTTAGTTTCCCTGAGCAGATGGCAGCTTGTATGGCAGCCTCTGCCTCTGTATGAATGGTGTGAATTGTATATGTCAAATTGGAAATGACCATATTAACCTTTATAAATAAGGCTAATGATAGACCTCTGTGTCACAGAGAACACACTAGATGTTTTATTAGCATTTTCTTTTAAAGAGGACAGGGTTTGATGGACAAAGTATTTTTATTTGTAATTAGGCATCAACTAAAATATCCAAAATATAGTGTGCAATTATGTGTACTTATATTTTAAGTATAGTGAATAATTAGCACGTCAGTTGATTGAATTTCACACATATTCACATATTTGACCGAAATGATCATGGTATATAGCACACATAGCAGAAGGGTTTCTCCTTGTCCTAATACATGCCTGTGTCACTGAGGTCCACCCTCAGGACCGCCTCTCCTGAGTCTGACATGGAGGCGCTGACAATCACATAATCCCCCTCATAAGAAATGCCCGAGCCGTCAGCCTTTGCCCTTACGAAATTATTTTCACTTCCATTATACATCATATCATAAAGGTTGTAGTCACAGTCGTTCCCCCTCTCAAAGATTAGGTCCACAAATAAAATCAAGGAATATACAACCAAGACTAAAATGATAATAGACGAAAGCGCATAGACGTTTGATCTCTGGTCTAAAACTACAACTTTATCGATGAATAGTTGACAAAATCACCCAAAAAACTGGTGAGAAGTGGTGTGGAAAATATATATACACCTGTAATGAAACAAAACGCTTCCATAAGGAAATACATCTGATTAAATTAGTTCTTACCGTTTTATGATCTGAAAAAAATAAATAGCCAAAGCAGCTGTTGGAGCATTCAGGTGGGTGGTGCAGGTTTAGGCAGGATGTGGAGGTGGAGGCACACTCAGGCTTTTATTGACTCGGTTAATCCAGTTGCCTCCCTCCTTATCTGCGGGTCAGTATCAGCCCCCTCTGTTCCCGGACCTCGCCACCACCTTATCACCATGGTAATAAGGTACTATGGTGTGATTGGTTCACAGTGATTAAATCAATGCTGCTTTTATTTGGATCTCCTTTTGTTTGAACCTTTTAAAACCAGTACCCATTATTTGTGTTGGGCGTAGCAGGGATGGTGAGGACCTGCAGGCCTGTTCACAGGAAACACTACAGAACAGCAAAACTTAGATATAGTGTCTGACCATTAGATGGACAGCTAGGTGAACAGTAGTGGATGTAAAATAACTTATTTATTGGAAAGCAAAAATCAATAAAAAGCAAGAAAATATAACATAATTCCTTGGTATACGGTGCATTTGTGATTTTATTTACTCTTAAATTGTGTTGCATAGTCTAAGGAATAAAACAAAAATTGGTAGAGGACAGATAAAAGTTCAAATATATTAATGAAGTGATGGTGATAGCAGTAAGTCATCATTTAGCGCCTTCCTAGTCTACTTCTACACGCCAACATTTGGTTGGGTGGTGCTGCCATTGAACATGAACTAATGCTCATTCACTCACACGCACACCCCAGGGGCTGTGCCATTGTAATGTTCAGTATCTGGCTGAAGAACACTTTGACATGCGGACTGGAGGAGCGGGGATCTAAACGCTGATCTTCTGATAAGTCGGCTATCTCCTGGGCCAAAGCCGTCCCAGTTTCCAGTAATGATGCTGATTAACTGGAAAAAAGAGCAGTAGCACGAATAACAGTAATTAGTCCAATGCCAGTCAAAATAATGTCACATGCATACGGTTAAATTCAGGTAAAACATAATTTGTGATGGTATTAGTGTTAACAGTATAGTGGTAACCATAATTCTAGTAGTTATAGCAGCAGGGTTTGCAATATGTTTAATGTATGTATTAGTTCATTTAATGGGACAGTGCACATTAATAAACATTGCTGTAAATAGCCAAGAGGCTATTTTTCATCTTTAGTCCCTGGACAGATGTTTCAAAGTCACCCTAAAATCAAAATTATATTATTTCAAAAACAATAAATGATTAAATACATGAAACATAGAGGCTCACAAAACAGAACATGCCAATAAAAAAACAAATTTAAAAATACTGTTCACACTGTTTACACACTTTGCAAATCACATCAAATTGTACAGTGAAAAACAGTTAAAACATGTTCACCCTGCTCTCCATTCCAGCCCCACATCCCCATCAACTGACTACAGACATGAACAAATCCCAAATTATTTTTATGAATTCACCTAAAATACATAGAAATGGGTGTTCCTCAGATCAAGCGTCTTTAAGAAACACTTTCATGCACTGTGTCATATCAGAAATATGTGTAGTATTTGCACTTGCAGTTATGGGTGCGTCAGAGCTCCTGCAGCCTGCACTGTGTACATGTAACCTGTGCAGGTACAAGAGACAGGTACCAGTGACTGCTCATGTTTACACACACACACACACACGCACACACACACACACACACACCACACACACACACACACACACACACACACACACACACACACACAAGTACTTACTCCAGGTCAGAGGTCGCGTTAACCGAATATTTTCCGTCTATGACGGATTTTTTTTAACAATGACGGACAAATCTGAAAGCAGTCCGTCATCTTAACAGATTAGAACAAACTCGGAACAGCGCCAAAGTTTCCTCGCAGCGAGGCTCCGGTGTTATGCCGTGTTATGCATGCCCTCCAAAAAGGAAATCATGCCGTTTCCAAACCTAACTGTGCCCTACAAATCATTGAAATGTCTGTGAGTTTTCGCTTTACGCTGTGTACACATTACATTACATTACATTGCATTTAGCTGACGCTTTATCCAAAGCGACTTACAATAAGTGCGTTCGACCAACAAAATACAAACTTGAAGAAAACAGAATCATATAAGTACATCAGGCTTCATAGAGCAAAAACATTTCAAGTGCTACTCAACTGGCTTTAGATAAGCCAGCCCTTTATTAGCATATACAGATGAAGCACTCCAGATCAGACTCAGATGGGTGTGTCCCAGTCAAAAGCCCAGCAGATGCCAGTGGCTGGGGGTGTTGCCAAATTGCTAGAGGGCGTTGCCCAATTTCCCCATTTGTTCAATTACAGGATTTAACCATGAGATGGCGCTTCATTCACAAAATACACAAAGACAACTGGGTGTTGTTGAACTTAGTCTGTTTGCAATGTTTGCAGCTCTGCAGTTGTGTTTGCTGAATACTGTAGCATTTAATCACTTATTTGTTACTGTATGGTTTTCACAAGCTACTATAATGAAAAAACATAAATATTTTAGATCAAATAAAGTATATAGTTTGCTTTATGCAGTATATTTCTTGTAATATTGTTGGGGTGTTTTTACACAGTACAGTAGATTGAAGTAAATCAATTTATACATTAAGATAAGATAAAATGGACCTTTATTAATCCCGTGGGGAAATTCAGTAGTTCAAACAGCAACAGGGTGAGAGTGAAAAACAGGACTGCACAGATTCAGACAGATTAATAAAATCAAAAATAAGATGAGTGATAAAAATAATAATAATGAGAAACTATGAAATAAGAAATGAATAAAACTAAAATATAATTATCATATATTATAATGTATTGTATTATTAAGTAATATCATACATTAACCCCATTATAGCAGATGCCACATTGAATGGATGAACACATTTATGCATCAATAATTACAACAGAGTATTTCTAAATACAAGTTGTAAAAATACTTATATGTATTTAATATTAACCCTTTGGAGTCGACCGTCACGCCGGCGTGATCAGATCACATGACCTGTTCAAGCCGGTGCTGCATAAAAACAACAGTCCGGACAACATTGCCGTGTGTTTCTGTCGAAAGTACTGGCTTGAAACTATATCCCAGTCTTTGTTTCATGCAAAAAGACCCAGTAAACACGGAGAGACGATTATATAAAGTTAATACATTTCAAAAGTATGAAAAATGGAAGCACATATTTGAATATCTTCGCCGCATTTGATCATTTTACGAAACGGAAAATACTGGAAACTGTAGATCCTGCTCAACAGGATGTATATGTGTATTTCTGTCGAAAGTACTGGCTTGAAACTATATGCCAGTCTTTGTTTCATGCAAAAAAGACCCAATAAACACGGACATACGATGATATAAAGTTAATACAGATATATTTCAGAAGTATGAATAATGGAAGCACATATTTTAATATCTTCGCCGTATTTTATCATTTTACGAAACGGAAAATACTGGAAACTGTAGATTCTGCTCAACAGGATGTATTTACCAGGGAGGGGTGAGGTAATCAGGTAAACGGAGTGATACGAAACGAGACGAAAAGAGACGAAGAGAGACGAAGAGAGACGGCGGGAGACTGCGATTGAAGTAAAGTGACAGACAAACATTGAGAATTTAGATATAGTTAGATAGATTTAGAGTTTTGAAGATTCAACTATGATGAAGAGAACTCTGAACGTGAGTCAAGCTTTAAGCTTGTTTTTTGACATGGAGGAGGAGGAATCTGTGATGTTGCCCTCTGTGTCGTATTGACAGAAACCGCTTTGAAGCGTGGCACAGATAAAGACAGAAAAAACTGATTTTTGTACATAATGTGTATATATATATTTGTATTATATTTATAATAACACTTTTGCCTTATCAGAATGAAATCCCATGCTACCTCAATCAAACTTTCACATTATCATAGTGACATCCCATGTATATATTTCTAGCTTTTAAATGGTTTCGTTGTGTATGTTTGTGTTACATATGAAAAATAATATCATTTTCATAATCTGTTTTTTTTTGTGATTTTGGGTCCAAAATGTTCATATAGTAGAAGATCACTGCTCTAAACAAAGTCAAAAATCCTACATCCAAACGAAATAAATATAATTAATTATGATGAATATGTTAAGTCTTGTTCATTGTTTTTCACTTTTATTAAATGTTTGATATTTCCGGTGGAAATGGTGGACTATCGGACATTCAAAATGCAGCATATTTTCACTCTTACACACATATATTCTCCTTTTACATACATACATCTTCACTCTTACACACATATATTCTCCTTTTACATACATACATTTTCACTCTTACACACATATATTCTCCTTTTACATACATACATTTTCACTCTCACACACGTATATATTTACACTCACACATTCATACATTTTGCTCTCATATTATCATATTTCAATGCACACATTCATATATTGTCACTCACACATTCATGCATTTTGTTCTCATATTCATATAATGTAATGCTCATATTTATACATTTTGCTCTCATGTGAAATCTACTAAAACAAAGTATGTCATGGTAGTGGTCAGCTGTTAAACACAAAAGTGTATCTTAAGGGCTGTAAATATAATAAGCCTGTTGTCAATTTTAGACACACGCTTATTATATTTACAGCCCTTAATAACATTCATTTTCTGGACTCAATGTGTGTCTTGGCCGTTTTCTTTGTTCCAAGCAAACGAGTGCTTTTTTGTTTTGAAATCACTTCCGCGAGTTTCGCGGGCCTCCCCCCTCGCTCCACTGACCATTAGACCATTTAGTAAGGTAACAAGCAAAAGGGCAAAAACGCCTCTCAGACGCTCTTCCGTTTACTTTTTTAATAAAGAAAAACAAATGGTCCGTAGATACACGGACTCATATAGCCTATGTATGTATACTGTAAGGAGAATGTATGTGCGTGAGAGGACCAGTATGAATTACGGCATAGAAATATGCAAACACAAACCTACAGACTGGGGGATGGGAGATCACAGGAGTGGGGGGGGGGGGGGGGGAGAGCTGTGGAATGTGACCCTTGGGAGAATTCCTCCACACATTCCGATGGCTAATTCGTTTTAAACAAAGAGTTCGCAACACAGGACAGCATAGGCAACATGGGGGGTGGGGGCTGGTGAACGGTATGGTCAATGTTTGTAAACACAATCCCCAGGATGTGTCCTAATCAAACCAA